GTTCCTACTGTGAATGTCGAAGTGATGGGGTATATCATGTGATTACATCTCGTATTATGGTTGTTACTTGATACAGCTTGTCCAGACTTATACAGAGGGTAGATGTGGGATTCGAGTCTTGTAACGAATTCGGGACGATAGAGATTGGGTTCTAAGGTTTAAGGACCAAGGTTGAAAACAAGGATCTCTAATGGTGTTGTGTTGGCGGGCTTGTGTGGAGCAGGGTGATGTGGGACTCCCGGGTTTATTCTTAGTAAGGTCAAACCGTGATTTGATAGCTTTGGAAAGACTCCTGGCACGTTCGAGGACGAACGTGTGTTTAAGTGGTGGAGGATGTAACGAACCGACTGGTCGTTTTGAGTATCTGCACTTCGCTCGATTTTTGAGGGCTCCAGTATCTCCGCATGATGTATTATGACTTGCGCAAATCGTCGGTATTGGTTTTCGAGTTATCCGGAATCGATTTGGAAGAATGAACTTCAATATTTGAGTACTAAGTTGGAAGAATTGACCAAGTTTGACTTTTAGCATTTGATGTCGGAATGGAGTTTCGTCAGTTCCGTTAGCTCTGTTGGGTGATTTTGGACTTAGGAGCGCGTCCGTATTGTAATTTAGAGGTCCGTAGTGGAATTAGTCTTGAATTGGCGAAAGTTGGATTTTTTGGGAAGTTTGACCGAGAGTGGACTTTTTGATATCGGGGTCGGATTTCAATTTCGGAAGTTGGAATAGGTCTGTAATGTCAAATGTGACTTGTGTGTTGAATTTGAGGTCAATCGGAGGTGATTTGATAGGTTTCGGCATCGGTGGTGGAAGTTAAAGTTTCAAAGTTCATTGATTTCGACTTGAGGTGTGATTCATCGTTTCGAAGTTGTCATGCGTGATTTGAAGCTTCGAGTAGGTCCGTCTTGTCATATGGAACTTGTCTGCAGAATTTGGTGCCATTCGGAGTTGATTTGATATGGTTCGGACGCTTAGTTATGATTCTAGAAGTTCTTGAAGTTTAGTTTGAATTACATGCGTTTTGGCGTTCGATTCGTGGTTTTAGAAGTTATTTCGATGATTTGAGCGCGGGAGCGAGTTCGTGTTGTATTTTTAGACTTGTGTGCATATTTGGTTTGGAGCCCCGAGGGCTCGGGTGAGTTTCGGATTGGTTTCGGAATGATTTTTCATGGTTTTTGATTGCTGGTACTAGTAGCATCGCATTTGCAATGTATTTGTCACGAATGCGACAGCCGCAATTGCGAAGCAGCCATCGCAGTTGCGAAGTCTGGGCTGCTGGGCAGAGTTCGCATTTGCGAAGGACTCTGCCGCATTTGCAAAACTCCTACCACCGCATTTGCGTAGTTTGGGTCGCAATTGTGACCTAAGCAGTAGGCCTTCCAGTTCGCATTTGCGATATAGTGTTCGCATTTGCGAGGGTCACATTTGCGAGCCCCCTGTCGCAAATGCGACATCTGCAACCTGTTAAGTGCTGAGAATTCCGAGTTTTTACTTTATTTTTCATATTTTTGAACCCTAGCTTCGAGGTGAGGCGATTTTGAGAGGGGATTTTCATGTCAAATCATTGGGTAAGTATCTTTAAACAATTTCCAACTATATTTCATGATTTTATACAAGATTTAACATCAAATTCATGGGAAAACTATGGAAAAATTTGGGGATTTTGTCAAAGATTTGAAAAAAAATGAAAATTTGAGATTTGAGAGTCGAATAAGACTCGGATTTGAAAACAAAACACATATTTGGACTCGTGGGGCTATGGGTAGTCAAGACCTACCTTTGGATCCGGGTTTTGACCGGACGGGCCCGGGGTTTGACTTTTGTTGACTTTTTAGAAATTGAATAAAAATCATAGCTTTATTAACTGAAATTATTTTCTCTTGCATTGTGTGGTGTATTCAAGTTGTCATTTGCTAGATTGAGTCGAGCGGAGGCGAATTTTTAGAGGAAAAGGCTAAATTGAGTGTTGGATTAGCCGAATTGAGGTAACTATTTTGCTTAGATTTGTTGAGGAAATTTTCCTCCTATTTGTCATTATTTGCTACATACGGGGTTGATACATATATGAGGTGACGAGCGTATATGTATGTGCCAGGGTTAATCATGCTCGGGGGGTGGATTATGTTATATTTGTGTTTGTAGAATTTTGTGACATTATGCTTAATGCCTTATTTGACTCTTAGATACTAAGGACATAATATTAAATGATAGATATCAGGACTTAGTTTGTTATAACTTGAATAGACTTGATGGAAATTGTAAGAATACATTGATGTGTCTAATTCGGTCATCTCTACGCGAAATCATTACTACATTACTACAACCGATATTCTTGAGATGCTAGACTCTATACTTGTGTTGTGGATTATTTATGAGATTTGTGGAAATATTTGAATAATACGATTCTTGAGGGTTGCTGAACCATTGTTGACTTGGAAAGTTGTGATTGGGAATTGTCTGGAATATCCATTAAAACACTCTCCTTGATGTCCGTTATGCTTCCTGCCTTGTTTGTTACTGTTATATATATGCTTGGTAAGGAAGAGTGTAAAGCACGAAGGTGATGTTGTGCCATTGTTTATATATTATCATGTGATGGAGAGTGTAAAGCACGAAGGGTGATGCCGTGCCATATTATTGAGAGTAAAAGCACGAAGGGTGATGTCGTGCCATACTATTGAGAGTAAAAGCACGAAGGGTGATGCCGTGCCATTTCATTCATATTGTTATGCTTGTATGTTATTGTGAGGTCATCGCATGAAGGATGTTTCCGTGCAGGTGAGGACGAGGGACATGTATTTTGATGTGATATATGTTTCCCGTGTATACGTTCGTGCCCTTACTTTGAGATGTTATTGTTGTAGTTACATATTTTGTGTGACTTGTTGTAACTGTCCTGTACTTGACCTTTATCTCAATTGTTGTTGCACTGTCCATGTCTTTTACTTGCTTAACTTGCGAAATATCGTGCATATTTCCTGCTTTTACAATTATACTCATGTTGTATCTATTTTGTTGCACTTTAATATAAGCCTTCCACCATGCTAGCCATTCATGCATTTACTTGTTGACTTGTAAAGAACTTGTGTTTTCTTCTTAATTGTTATATTTGTACTTAGGCCTCCAATATGCTAGTTAATTGAAGTTGATATTTCCTATTTCCAATTGTTGTTGTTACGCACGTGCTTTCCGCTTAGTCCTTTACTGTGATCCACATGTGTATCCTTGTCCACTGTTGTTGCTTGCGTATTTCCTACTTAGCAATTCCTATTGTTGTGTTCTTGTGATATGGTTGGCACTGTTGTACGATTACTTGGAAAGGATGAGTTGTTTGCACGAAGGGTGTTGCCGTGCTAATTGAATTGTTTCATAAATTTATTTATATATGGTGAGGATGAGATAAAAACAAGAAAGGTGTTACCGTGCCATGTGATTTGATATTTTGACATTTTAAACATATATCTCATACCAGGAAAGATCGTAAATATTCTATTGTGGTTCTTTATAGTACTCATTGTCTGACTCGCCGGGTTGTATTTGATACTTTTATCTGTTATACTTTGAACTTGTTTACTGTTAATTTAATGTACAGGTTATTTAAATAAGCATCCTTTTAACTAAAAGTCTCGTCACTACTTCGACGAGGTTAGACAAAATACTTACCAGTACATGGGGTCGGTTGTACTGATACTGTACTTCTGCACGTCCCGTGCAGATTTTGAAGCGGAGTTGCTGGTGACGTCGGGTGCTGATTCGGAAGATGTTCGTGCGTTTGGATATAGCTGTCACTTGTCCTTGGTAGTTTAGAATATTGCTAATCTGTTTATGTAATCTTCAAACAGAACGTGTATTTATTTGTATCAGTTTTGAAATTCCAAATCTTAGAAGCTCGTGATTCGTACTACCACGTCTTGGTAAACTTGTAAAGGTTCAGTTAGCTATTCTCTATTTTCTTATTATCTCAGTCGTATTGTGTTGTTCATGTTAGTTGGCTTACCTAGCGGTTGAGTTAGGCGCCATCACGACTTGTGGTTTTTGGGTCGTGACATCGGATTACCAAAGGGTCAATATATTTATGTCGTTCTTATTGATACTGATATTCTTGGTTGGCTCGTAAAGTAACTCCCTATATATATTTGAAATACTAATCATTTGTCTATACTTAAGCGCGATTGTGAATAACCTCATTAGATTTACCAATTAATTCTTTTCTAATACACAAATAATTTTTGTCTAAATATTTTTTTTTAGTATTCAAATCTAAATAGATTAGATTTCAAGTATTAATACATTTCATTATTAATACTTAGTTTATACTAATTTTTAATGGTTTTTAATCTTCTTAGAGATGCTTCATTTTGGTATAATCAATATCGAATAGGTGCCCGTTTGGATTGACTTATTTTAAGTGCTTTTAAGCCAAAATAACTTTTAAGCCATTTTATAGTGTTTGGATGGAGTAAAAAAGTGCTTTTAAGCACTTGTTTTTACACTAAAATGACAAAAGTAAGCCAAAAGACAAAAGTTAGAATTCCTAACTAATGGCTTAAAAGCTATTTTGGCTTAAAAGTCACTTAAAATAAGCTCATCCAAACGGGAACTACGAGGGTGTTTGGCTAAGCTTATAAGCTGGTCAAACTGGCTTATAAGCACTTTTTGGCTTATCTACGCGTTTGGTAAAATTAAAAGTGCTTATAAGTTAAGTGCTTATAAGCCAAAAATAAGCCAAAAGCCATAAGTTGGTCTCCCCCAACTTATCAAATTTCAGCTTATAAGCACTTTAAGTTTGACCAAAATATTTACTATTCTATCCCTAAAATACTTCTTTTTAAAATAAAACTCTTCGTATACCTAGTTCTTTAGCTGCATAGTATTAATTTCAGCACTTTTATCCAAACACGTAACTGCTTATTTTTTAAATCAGCTTCAGCACTTAAAATTGCTTTTCAGCACCTAATGCTTATCAGCTACTCTAAATCAGCTAAGCCAAACAGGCTCTATATTCCTTTAAGTGAATAATCTTCATCTAATAAAATGCTTAATTTGTGCACATTGTTAAGTGTGTGACCTATATCTTATCTAAAAGCTTAAGATGTTACAGAGATTACAATTTTCTTTATTTAATTGTCTCTTCAACTCGCCCCTTACCCGCGAGATTTGATTCAATTTCACGCACCAAGCATGTGAAATTCATTTTTGATCATGGGTGGCGATGAGACTTGAACTCGGAACATTTGCATGCTCTGGTACCATGTTGAAGTATGTGATCATATCATCTAAAAGCTTAAGCTATTTGAAAGAACATACTTTTATTTACTTAATTATGTCTCAACATATACAATCACTTTCTTGCTAGTAATTTTGTGACTCAAATCATTATAGAAAATGGTTATTGTCGGAAGCTAAATTGAGCTTGAATACTGGTGGATTTTGTCAGAAGTTTGACTTTTGCCTTGTGCAGTATTGACACCGACGCTATTAACTGTTTATCTCTTTTTCATGATTGCAAAAGCGTTGGTAGATTTAGCCTTTGTTTTTGAAGTTCTTATAATATTGCTTTACCTATGTGCTAGCCGTTATCCCGTTAGTTGAAATGATTGTTCTTGTGTTTGTACTTGTGATAAGCTTTGGGAAGTACGAGTACGACTGTTACATCATCAAGCTCCCCAGTGCCTGGAGGCAAGCAGCTGTTCTCCAATGTTGCAAGGCTTGGTTTTGCCGCTGGATGTGATCCTCCAGCGCTAAAGACGGATGAGCCCAGACGTGATTCTACTGTTGCATCTGGTATCTTTTTAATTCTCATAGTTGACTTTTGACATTGAATATCTGCTATAATCTCAATTCCTCTTTATCATTTTTCATCACAATTTGCTGTAAACATGCTATTGTTTCGTTTTGCTTATGTGGGATTAGTGCTCATAACCAGTGGACTTCAGTTCTCTCAGGAACAAGGAGTTCTGGAACCATGTCCTTTGCAAATGTAACGTCCAAAGCAAAAGCTGTTGAAGGTCCCAATGCGTCTAAATCAAATGATGCAGGAAAGAGGGGGAAGAAGCCAAATCGGATCCTAATGTCAACGTCTGGTGGTAGGCGTTACTGAATCTTGAAGGGACCTGATAAAGAAACCTATCTGTATATTAATAACTGGTTTACCTCTGTAACCGGGATTTGCTAGTTGTTACTCACCTAGATTTGAGCATGGTGTTTTCGAACAGTGTTGTGAAGTTGTAGCTAGCGTTTCGCCATAAATTCCCAAATTTGTTTTGAAAAATCTGATTTGGGTTAAGTTTGGTTTGAAGATGAAAATGTGTTTGGACATCATTTTTCAAAACATGTTCCACTTTTTTTTTTGAAAAATACATGAAACATGACTTATACCTACAAGTTCTAAAAACTACCACAAATACCAACACTGCCTTCATCAATAACATTCATTATGTTATCGCAAATCATAGTCATGAACATAAATAAATTTGGTTCAAAATTATTATTTTTATAATGAACTATATAATACACTATCAGATGACCGAGAAGACAAAGCAATGATAAATGGCGGACTCTTTTATAAAATGCAAAAGTTTGGGGAAATTTGTAAAAAATATAGGAGTTTTTATATTCCTATGCCATATAGTAAACTATATTACGCTCTATGTTTAAGGTTTGATATAATTACATTTAGTATACCTAATTACCAATTATATACCAATGTGTTTTAACCGTACATTATTATGGTACTGTATATCCCTCCTAAATTAATGGTACTGTATATTCCTCCAAATTACCCCCCTCCCCACGTTTCTCTCTCCCAAACCCACACCCTTACCCACGTATCAC